TTGGCGAGAAAATCGGGAAAAAAATTAAAAATTCATTTTATTTCAGTTCTCACAGCTGTCATCTCTGGTTATAATTCCCTTAGTGCAGAAATTCTGTAGGTCGTACGCGTACCTAACCAAATAATACCTTCCTCGGAAGCGTATAACAGACAATTCTGAGCTTGCGAAATTATGATCAAAAGCACTAACGAGCTATTATTGAAAACCCTCAGTCCTGGGCAAATTTTCGTAACTATCAATGGGGCCTGGAAGGCCCGGGGATAATTGAAGAACGATGACGTTACCGACAACTAATAAAAATTTATGATTATTAACATAAATATTTTGATGATACGTTATTAGATTCGTGATGTTTTTATTATATAAAAGCTGTATAAATAAGTATGCACTTTTAATGACATAATATCTTATAAATATTGTCAAAAAATTACAATTTTTCCTCTGATTATCATCTCTATTGATAATCAAACTCAAATGGTATCATTAAAATCACAGTTTTAAATAAAAATCGAGTATTATTAAATTTTAAATACATATGTACATGTCTACAAAATTAATAAAATATGAAATTAGTAATACGTATTATTCTTAATTACTTAAATTTTAACAGGCACGCGAATTTCCATAAACGCCGAGGATTCTTAATAATATCTCGTTGGTATCGAAAGCCTAACAAAAAAAGATGTACCAGAATAGACTAGAAATGTCAACAGAGCCGAAATTCTAATAGTTGCGCGTATTTTGAGATAGATGGCGCTGAAATATGTTACATAAAGACAGATGTATGTTGAGTGAGATAGAATGATATACAATATAATGTAAGGTACGATCAACGCAATGCTGCAAACGCTTTGAAGCGTTTTTTAACTGTTCAGTTTGTAAAATTCTTTCTTCTAATTGGTCCATCAAATTCTTCAAAGCATTTGTAGTGAGATTTTGACCACAGCTGTAATGTAAGAAATGAATCAAAGATGTCACTATTATATAGAATTTGGAATTAAAAAAGTCTGTACTTCGATCAAGTTTGATAATCAGTTTAGGATCCCCTTAATATAGATTTTTATTATATTTTTATTATATTAAATTTATCGGATTATATGTATATTATATTATATATATATTCGTATATTATACCTATATATAATATATACACAATTAAATTGAAATTACTAAAAATTAAATTTTATATTTTATAATATATTGAACAAACTTCACTTTGATGAACATAACTTAAGATTTATTAATGAAAATACTTTTATTAGATTAAAAGGTATTTTATAAATAGAATGTTATGAGAATAATGCGAAAGAAATCAAATTTTTAATAAAAAAAGAATCTATTCGGAATTGCTATAGATTAAAATTCAATTGATTTTAGATACACTGTCGTATATTCTTAGCTCACTGCTTTTAGCAAAAAAGAATAATACACACGCACGAAGCATACACAGAAAGTACAGAGTAATAACCGTCATCCACTGATTATAGTTAGTATACCGGAGATATTTATCTGTACTATTAAATCATTTCTATTCTTGTGCCTCTATAATCGCTACGATGTATAATACATAGTAAATTATATAAATTTTGAAATGATAGAATACATATAGACATGTAAACGCGAGAAATATCTAGTAATTATTTATCGTCTCTTCCGCATTATGTTCTTAGAATCAGCATAAATAAGTGAAAACAAGAAAAAAAATTAATAAAATTATAAAACGTGTACTAACTATTGTAAAATTTACATAAAAAATGTGTTTATACGTTTATATTAAAATAATTAAAGCAAATATGTTTATTAAGACATTAATACATGTCACTTATAAAAGTTATGTGTTTACCTTTGTTTATTTTCATTTTAAATACAAAGTATATTCCCTAGCAAATATTCCACACAGATACTTCTGACTGCAGAAATTCTGTGTTTGCGTTTTACAATTATTATAACATCTGGATATAAAATGGATTAGTAAATTAAATAGTCTGTATTTTAAAAAATATAATATAAGTTATGAAAGAAACAAACATATAATAAATTGATTTTTTTAATATTCTATCTCTTTGTGTATTCGAAATTTAAATAAACAAAGTGGTTTTTCTAGATATTTGTATGAAAAAAAATGTTTTGTCTTAAAATTAAGCTCACTTTAAATGTTTTATAATTCAACGTTTGATTTCAGAGTAGAATTTAATTACAATTTTAAATGCATTGTCTCTTAATGCATATTTTAACATATATTTTTTATACATAAATGCATTTTGATCCTTCGGATATTTTTTCTATTACGGTATACAAAATTATAAATAAAATTCTATCTTGAAGTCTGATATGAATAATAGATCATAATAATAATAGATCTAAAATGAACTTTAAAGGAAATATAAATTCTAAAATAAAATTTTCTATGTAATTTTCTATGTTAAAAATATTTGACATAAACATTTTATTTCTATATTAGAAGCTCGTTTCTTTAATTATTTATTTGCCACGATATAATATAATAGTAATTGTTTACATCTTTATATTTTTAATTTTTTCAAAATGCGACAAGGTAACTTTATTGTATTGTATTACATCTAAAGAATTTAAAACGGCAAATAATAGACGCAGAATTATAGAATAGCTAAGCAGCACTGCATTTAATTGTAAGTTTACGATTCTGTATTTTAATTTGTTACAATTTGTGGGATTGCAATATATTTATGTATGTTTACAGAACGTCCAATTCTTTATTCTAAACAAACACAAATGTAAATTTTTAAATAAATTTAAAGAGATTGTTAAAATATTTTTGTTACCTAGAATAATTTTAAAATAAGTCGACACATAAATTTTTGCGATTTTATATTCTGTAGATAGTTATATTTTTTGAATAATTTTTTAAAAAAGCCTCCAGGGACATTTAACTGACAGACGTCAAACAGTGACGTGTACTATAACATTGCGATGCAAAACGTGTGAAACACGTCACCATTAAGGTGACGTTAAGGAACGTGAATAAAAAAATTAAACGTTTACAATCATAAAATAATAATCATATTAAATAGTAAAATTGAAATTTTATGTAACATTATTGGGTCAAAGATTACAGAAAAGTTTGAAAATATTGCGTTATTAATATCAAAATTATTATATCGATTAACATATTAATAATGTTATTAATAATGTTTTATATATACATATATAAAGCAACACTATGCGTGCGTAAAAAGAGATGTCACACAGTATTTCTAAAGATGTAACATTGTTAAATGTATGTAATAATTAAACACACATACACACACACACACACACACACACACACACACATACATACACACACACAAACATTATTGATTAATGTTTCTCATATTAATTTTTTTCTTGCAAGAATGCAAATTTAATACTTTTTCAGATACTTTTTTTATTAAAAATTTGATATAGTTTATATAAATGGATAAGCTATACTATTTTTGTTGTATATTTATTATTGGGCTATTCGAAATATCTTATATCTTATCTTTCTCTCACACATTTTTTATTTTTATATTTAAGATAAACAAGTAAACAGACATAATTTGGAGCCAAATCAACATGACGTATACAAATAACCTGATGAACAAGTTGCAGATGTATTATTATTATTATATAATCTATTTAATATAAATCAAACTTTATGTAATTTCCTTTCAGGAAATTACATAAAGTTTGGAGGAAGTGAGAACAAAAATCTTTTCGATCAATTCTTTTATATGTTTATGGAACCATTTAAAAAAATATTTTGAGTAATATTTAAAAAATAAAAACTGCATTATTAGAAGAAATAAACTAGCGTACTTTAAAATTGTTAAAAATGTTTAAATTATTATTATTTAAAATGTCATGTACAATTAATATATAATATTAATAATAATAATATCAATAATAATAATATTAATAATGTTATATTAATAATGTTATATTAATAATGTTATATTAATAACATTATTATAATTTACATTTTTGCATTATAATTTCCTCAAACATTGAGTATATATATATATATATGTTTTTGTCAAAACGTAATGAAAAATAATTTAATTGCAAGATATAAATTTTTTTCCATCATAATTCAACTTTGTTTTCCTATCCGTCCATGCCGGAAGTATAACCACGAGCTTATCTATTTCTACTTTTGCAACCGGAAAGCGAAGAATTTAAAGAATTAAACAATTAACAATTTTTCTCGCTTTATATTTTTAATATTACAATACATTTAAAGTGAAGCTAATTATGTTTTGAAATTGATGTCTCTCTAATAATAATTAAAACATTAAATTTTACATAGAATTTCATGAAACATTAGATTTTATATAGAATTTACATAGATTTTTTTGGAAAAGTAAAAAGTAGTAATTTATTTTTAACAAATTCGTTAAACAAAAATCAATTTCAAATTTATTAAAAGTCTTCTATTAAAAATTGATTCAATATAAATAAAATATTCTGCATCTTAATGAATGATATTATCTTAATGAATGTGTACATGATGAGTTGAATTTTGATAATTTATTCTTTTCTGTCTTTATACTTTTATTGCACGATAAAAAATATTTCTATAATGATGACCTCTTTTTTCGCTAATTCTTTCTTAATTTTTTCAATAAACGCGTACAAATGAAAAATCGAGAATGTAGTGAAATCTTTAAAGGAAATACTGAATAAAATCTTACTTTGTTGACGTTTACTTTGTCTGACGTCTCTGACACACCTAATTAAAAGGAATATGAAAGATTTTAATCGATTGATCACAGATGACGAAACTACATTGCGGATGCATAAGATGCAGATATAAGAGAACAGCAAGATAAAAATAAAAAGAAGCAAGAGAAAATGAAGAAAAATAAAGAAGAATTATCACGTGATTTTTCGAACGCGCGCTTGCATAATTGGAAGGATACTCGCGTCATTGAAAAAATACACTAATAACTCTTCGGATTTGTTTTGATCATAGTTACGCTGACGGCGAAGCAACACGTGGAGCTGTAATTCATCGGACGTGCGTCTGAGGATTCCCCAGTCTTCCTTCTTGCGCGATACTGTCCAAGAAGAGAGGGTGCTCCAGGCACACTACACTTGTCTCCTATTTTCCTCGTTCGTCAGCCTAAGACGTTCTGTCTCAGATAATAATGAATAATACGACCTGACTCATAGTCACTTCGATTTGCAGTGTCCCACTACTGCGCGATCAGAACGCTTCTTCAGCGAGGAAAACTGTAAACGTGTGTGTTTCGATAAAGAACTGGTCAGTCTCGCGAAGGTTCAGCAAGGCCGTGAGAGCGTATCTCCAAGGATTAGCACGCTGAATATCCGGTTATCGCAGTGTGTTGGATTCTGTTAAGGATTTTGAACTATTGAGAAACGCTTCGCCAGAAGTGGTTCGCCAGAAATTCGCCTTGAAAGAGAGTGCCTCGAAAATAAATATTAAATAATACCTAAGTAAATAAGAATATGTAAACTAGAAGATATTAAAAAAGTATAACTCAACGCACTTAAAACATATTCTAGATGTCAATAGAAAAAATGCAGTATAGTGATTTTATAAAAACACAAAAAATAATTGATATTAATATTAAAGAAATATAATAAATCAGAGTAAAGTGAAGGTGGACATCCAGTTGTACACGTGAGTCACGTTTATTCTTTGTCAGAATTTGAAATCCGTTTAATGAACTGATCATATGTGATCCGGTACGACTGTTCAAAGTGCAAGCTAAATATGCGCTCAGAGAATACTTAAGATATTCGTACTTTGATTTGCTTAGATGTTTACTTGTCTTCTGGAATCGTTTTCCTTAATAATGCAATTGCTTAGAAACGTAACTAAAATGTAAATTAAATAACATATTTAATTTACATTAAGTAACATATTTAATTAAAACAATCTTTTAAACGTAATTAAATCTGTTTATTATCTAGAGATACGCTTACTGCATATTTTTAACCAAGTCAAGAGTGTTGTCCAGTAGAAACGTTGCCGAATTATTAAAAAAGTGAGTTGCGTTTAAAATTATTATTTTTATTATCTCTTTGATTGGATACATATATTGCATAATATATCTGCTATCAAATTTATATGCTATATCTTCATCATTAATATTTCAAACTTTTTATTTATAATACGAAATTTAAGTATTCATTATTTTATATCTCAATATAATCTGCATAATAAATTTTCTTGCTCGAATAATTTCGTGTTAAAAAATGTTTTTTTTAAATATAAATGGAGGAAAAATAAGCTAATAAGAGCCACGGATGTCGATGCACAATAATAATAATATTAGTCTATTACTCATACACTCAAGCTATTACTCATTTGACATAGGCATGTAATTCCGGCTTTATTTATTTTGTTACTATTGTTTCGTATTTTAATATTTTATTATAACACTGTTATTGTAGTTTTATTTAATAAGTTTTCTACTGTTCAAATATATGTATATGATTTATGTGCATTGAAAAGGATCCAAAATTGCAATTGAAATCTATGCATTTTATTAAAAATTAACACAATGTCATGGTTTATTTCGAGCTATAATTAAATTAACTTAAATAACTAAAATTAATATAATTAAACGTTTCGGCTTACAAAGCCTTCTTCAGTGCTACAATGCAGAGATACAATCTTAAATTAACAAATAAAGAATAACGGATACAATTCTTTAATTCTTGTCTGCAATTGTTTTCGTTCAAATCTCTTCGTTTGGCCAACATATGATGCATTGCAGTTATTAAAATTTACTTTATATATGACATTATTTTTATCATGTTGATTTTTGTCTTTATGAACTTTAATAAATTTATTAAGCTTGTTTAAGCACCTATAGCCAATCATGTTTCTTGGATTTATTAACAGACTTAGTAATTTTGTCAGAAATAAATCTTATATGTGGGAAAACCATTATCTCTCAAGTAATTTTGTTAGAAATAAATCTTATATATGGGAAAACCATTATCTCTCTCAAAACTCTATGTCAGTGTCAATGTTATCTAAGCTGGTGTTATCTGCAGAGGGCAGTTATTCGGTTATCAAGCAGAGAATAAATAGTGTTTAGTAACAGATACGTACATAACATATTAGATAGTGTACATAACAATTCTTTAACCCAATTTAATCTGTATTATTAAGAACATAATTTTGCATTAATGAATTGCATTATTGTAGTATAAAGCAAAATAATATTAAAGAATTTAAAAATCGCACGATTAAAGATACACTTTAAATAGATTCGAAAAAACTAGAGCATAGTCAATTAAAAATTAGATTATTCTCTAATTTTCAACAGCGTTCTAAATTAAATTATTTAATTAATTACTTAATATTATATGTAGCACTGAAAAAATATAACGTAAAAAATATTTGTAAAATTTTGAATAAAAGAAAATTTTTTCAATTAAAAATTAGGAGACTATATATGATAGAATATCCTGTTTAAATATCTAATTCGGAAACAATCACTTAATTTTTTTATGTAAATTACGTAACATTACGTGGAGTGTTTTTCATATCTTAATTTAAAATTACTCTTATTATATAATTATATATTGTATTTACATTATTTGTTCTACAATTTATTAAAATTTAAGATCATTATATAGATTTAATATTTTCTAAAAAAAAAAAAAGTAAAATAAATGGAAATGCGCTCAGTAAAGAAAACTATGGTTAACGATTAGCTTTATTTTTCTTCCTGCTAATGTATAAAAACCTCAGAGATTCTTAGGTTAATGGACACATAGTATTACGTTATGTTTGGATGCTGAGTTTATCGTATTCATGACATTCTGTTTAAAATGTATACATTTATTTGCTTACTTTATCAACTTTCCTGGTTCGCTTGTGATAAATGGTAATAAATCATTTTACATTATGTATTGAAATCCTATTCTTTTTAATCTTATCGACATATTAAAACTTGATATATAACGAATAGATGTATAGATATTAATTATATAAATTAATTATATAATTGCATTTGCGTAATGAACTTTTCGTATTTCTAAATTTTCTTTGAAATAAAATTATTGATTTAAATATCTTTGAGATGTTAAAAAAATTTTTTTAGAAAAAATCCATGTAATAAAATGATAATAGTTGTTTAAAAATCACCAAATCATTAAATAAAATATTAAAGAATATTAAAAGTGAATTATATTTATAAACTATGTATTTTATTAAGTTTGTTAACAGATCCTCACAAAATGGCTAAGATGTATATCTTGATCGCATTACTGTCGCAGCTGCTTTTTACGCTAGTACAAGGACAGCAATCTCCGTGTCCTCAATATTTCAGATATATAATCAAACCGGGAACAGACGAAACGATAGGACAGATTGAAATCCAGTCTCCGCCAAAAGTTAGCGAACTCCATTTGAAAGTGAGTTTAAAACTCACTGCTGAATTGCCAACGGTATGTGTCCTTTTTTTTTACATCTAATTTATGACTCTTAATGCAGACAATTTCTAATAATTTTATGCAAGTTGTGGCGATTCAACAATAGCTAACAATTATTTCTCTAAAGTATTTCTGAAACAAAATTTAGCTTGAAGTCGTAACATTTCTGCAAGTAGTGTTTCTTAAAGAAACAAGTTTTGCTTGATTTAAGAATGAAAATACATTTAAAAATGATCAAAATATAATTATATAAAAAAACGTTATAAAAAGAAGAAGTTCATTTCTAAAAAATAAATCAATCATCAATGTATTTTAGAAAAATTATGGTCAACTAAAATTAGCACAATCGACCGAAGACTCTGCTCAAGCTGTTTTACAGGGCAGGAGTTTATTATATCATATTTATTTCCCTTTACGCCAACCACTTCCAACATTGACCTCGATATGGTTCAATGGCAAAAAATATTGTACGGGTTCCGATAGTGAGTATCGTATTTGCTTGAAATATAATATATGTAAATACATGTATATTCGAGAAAATAGAAGTAGACTTTATAAATATCCATTCTTTCGAGTCACAAATTAATTCTCATTTTATCTTATATTTATTTACGGCAAAGAGATGAATTCGAAGAATCTCACTCTAAAAAGATGTGAGGTTTGAATATCATATTTCGTTTCAGCAACAGGAGGTGTTATGACTACTATTACTACTATCACGTTGGAACGTACTCTGTATCTGCCAAATATGCCTTCGCCAAATTCAGAACCGAATGAATCGCATCGGAACTCGACACCAAAACCAGAACGTCAACAGAGTATTCCGAGGAAAGCCACCGTCACTTTTCCTCAAGATAATGGCAACATATTGCTAAATATGCTTCCGAACCAACCCGGACAAGTTTCACAATATAATAATAACAACGTATTCCTGAGGAAACCGACCTCAGCTCAAGCAGTCTCACAATATGATTTTAATAAAAATATATTTCTAAAACCATCTTTAAATAAAATTCCACATAACAATAATAATGTATTCCTAAATCAGTCCTCTAAACTTCAGCCAAACCAGTCACCTAAACCTCAATCAAACCAGTTTCCAGCTAAACCAGTTCCTCAACATAATAATAATAATAATAATAATAATAATAATAATAATAATAATAATAATAATAATGAATGTGGCATCAGCAGCCGCTCTGCAAATACAAATCTTTTGATCGCTAATGGACAGGAAACATTGCCTGGCGAATGGCCATGGTTAGTGGCACTTTTCATCGTTACAAATCGATATGAATTTCAATGCGCTGGAACCATTCTGACAAATAAACATGTCCTAACAGGTAAATTAATAAAAGAAAAAAAATGTGTATTACTAAGACTTTTCAAACGTTCAATAATGTAAACTTTTTATCTTTGCTTTCTTTTAGAATTTATTTCTACTTATTCATATTCTCGTAGTAAAATTTAATTTTATAAATTTCCACAGATATTCACAGTTAATCCAAATATAATCGAGAAAAAACATATAAAAAACATATTTAAATTGCTTAATTGTTCATCAAATATTTTGATGTTATAGAGAGTTTTACAATACTGTATTTTGACTTTTCACTAAATAATGTAACTTTGTTCACCCCGTGGATACATGATCTTATAAAAATTCCCTATTATTTTTGCATTTTATATTATTAATAAGAAGTGCAAGCAAATATCTAGAGAATTTCTCTGCAATATATTAGGTGTTGGAATTAATTCGTAGCGTTTTACAAAGTATTTATAAGTTTTAAAAGTACTTTCATTAATGTATTTTTTAATGCTCATGTGAAATAAATAACATTCTTTCATTAAAAAACGCTACGAATTAATTCCAACACCTAATATATATATGGATATGTGCGTGTGTGTGTGTGTGTGTGTGTGGGTGTGTGTGTGTGTGTGTGTGTGTGTGTGTGTAGTATATGTATGTACTCTTTAGTTTTGTCTCTCGACAGAGAGTGCGGATTATTAAAAAAATATGATATTCATGCATATATTTTCTTTTTAGCGGGGCATTGTTTGAAGACGAACTTTGAAAGCAACGAAACTATACTTCCTAATGTATTGACTGTGGCATTGGGGCGATTTAATTTATTCGGATTCCGCGAGGTGGGAACCATAAATCGAGAAGTCGCAAGTTATACAATTCATCCCGATTATACCCATAAAACTACCGGCGATTCCGATCTGGCGATTTTAAACCTCAGAAAACCTGTGGAATATAACCATTTCATCAAACCTATTTGTCTGTGGTCCGGTTCATCTGATCTTCACGATATCGTCAGTAGAAGGGGATACGTCGTAGGATGGGGTAAAGACGAATTCGGTCATCGTTACACCGATCATCCACGGATGGCGATAATGCCGATAGTCAGTCTGGTAAGAACCTTTAAGATTCTTTTTAAACGAGAATTTTTCATAAATTTTGCTGTTTGATTGGTATACAAATTGGATCGAAATTCTCTAAAGGAAACGTCCGAAAAGCGAAAAAATAGGCAGATGACAATAAAATCAGATATTTAGATATATTATGAAAAAAAATATTTATTTTTACATTGTTAACAATGACACGCAAAACTGTATTTAATTTTATTACATAGTTACATACATTTACATAGCTTACATAGAATTACTATTATAGCATTGTAATATATGTATGCATATCTGTAGGTAACTAATCAATGAATTTATCAGAGTCATTGCATACCTAGAGTAATGAATGTGATTGTTTAAAAACAATAATACTATCATCGATCATGCGATTAAGATATAACTTTAAATTTTTGTAAACATTCTTAAAGTAACATATTTCGATACAATTCCGAGACGCTAACCATATATGAAAAATGTCGAGTCGGATTTCGCGCCTTTTAAAACCAAACTTTGCAAATGATGACGATTCATCATTGTTGCATGAATTATAGGAGACCTGTCACTGGAGTTATCCAGGTTTCGTCAAACTCACCTCGAATCGTACCTTTTGCGCCGGTATGCAAGATAGCGGTCCTTGTAACGGTGACAGCGGGAGCGCGCTTGTACTTTTTGATAATACCACAAACCGTTATCTGTTGCGTGGTGTTGTTTCACGGACAGTGTTTAACCATGAACGAGTATGTGATCTCACGAAGTACACCGTCTTTGTCGACGTGGCTAAATATCTAGTTTGGATTCAACAGCAGATATCTACAACGTAATGATAGTGTTATTTTAAAATGCAAAATATGCTAGACAACACTTTACATAAAATTTATTTGAAGCTACAACACTTAAGGGAGCATTGACAAATGCATACTACTTAAACTATGTTTTTATTATATTTTCTATTACTGAATTGTACGCAAATAAACATTGGAAATTGTAGTTTGATATTTCAGATCTATTTATTACATGTTTCACTTTTTACCAGTAATAATAATTAGATAATGTAGCATAGGGAGAAGGGCTACGAAAAGCCGTAAGAAAATTTTTTTATGATTCGTAGTTCTTCTCTATATAATTTTGTCTATATAATGTTTTAACAATAATTAATATTTTTTATAGTCTTTCTGTAACATACTGCAAAAAGTACAGTTTAACAATTGGTTATCTGTAAGTTTTCTAAATCATTCTCTTTTGAAAGTACTGAATGTTTTAATAAAAATAACTAAAAATATAGGATTAATAAAAAATCATTAATCAATATTTAACAATTAACTATTACCTTTTATAAAAAGAATCAGTATTTAATAATTAATCAATAACAATGAAAAGACAAAAACGTCAAAATAAAACTGGTTTAACTTTATTTTTGCAATTTGAAATTTTTATCTATATCAATATATTATATATTAATTTTATTATTGTCAATTATCAGTCTTAGCTTATGGAACGATTTAGAAAACCTGACATATTTACAAAAATTATTGATTTAAATAATTTGAATAATAATTGCATA